CTGCCTTCACCACTATAAAGCCTGATAATAAATCAGATAAAGAGTGGAATTTGTTACACAAATAGGTTTGCGGCTTTATTAGACAGTGGGTTGACGATAATATTTTGAACCATATTTATGGGGAGACACATGCTCAGACCCTATGGGAGCACCTTGAAAGTTTGTATGCTCGGAAAACTGGAAAAAATAAGATATTTCTGATAAAGCAGATGTTGGGTTTAAAATACCATGATGGTGCCGCGATGACAGATCATCTGAATAATTTTCAGGGGATCATGAACCAGTTATCTACTATGGGCATTAAATTTGATGAAGAAATTCAAGGTCTGTTTCTACTTGGTTCCCTACCAGATTCTTGGGAAATTCTTAGAACTTCATTATCAAATTCTGCTCAGGATGGTGTGATCTCTATGGATCTTGCCAAGGGCAGCCTTTTAAATGAAGAGATGAGAAGAAAATCTCAAGGTTCCTCCTCATCAGATGTCTTGGTGAATGACTCTAGGGAGAGAAGCAAGAATCGGGGTTCTCAAAATAGAGAACATAATAGAAGCAAATCCAGAAGCAGACTTAAAGATATTGAGTGCTATCATTGTATGAAGAAAGGGCACAAAAAGAAATTCTATCAGATTTTGAAAAAGGAGAAAAGATACAAGGAAGAATAGAAAGAAGATGGCAATTGTGTGGCCACCATCACTACAGAAGATCTTGTTACTGTCCTTGATGCGGATCAGATTAATATTGCTTGTGATGAGTCAAACTGGGTTGTGGACAGTGGTTCCGCATCTCATATGACATCAAGGAAGGAATTTTTCTCATCCTATACTCAGAGTGACTTTGAAACTTTGAGTATGGGTAATGGAACTATATCTAGGGTGGCTGGTGTTGGAACGATTTGTTTGGAAACTAGTATTGGAACTAAACTAGTTTTAAACAATGTAGAGCATGCACCTGATGTTCGTTTGTACTTGATCTCTGTTGGTGTTTTGGATGATGAGGGATATGTCAGTACCAATGGTACTGGAAAGTGGAAGCTCACTAAGGGTTCCATGATTATGGCTCGTGGGGAAAAGCGTCATGGTCTATACTGGACTACAACCTCTACCTGCGTTAATATGGTGAATGCCGTTGAGAGCAATAACTTTTCAACATTATGGCATAAGAGGCTTTTCTATATTAGCGAGAAAGGACTAAATGTTCTGGCCAAGAAGAAATTGTTGTCAAATTTTGAAAGAGCAAAATTAGAAAATGTGAGCACTACTTGGCTGGAAAACAAAAAAGAGTTTCTTTCCAATCTCATCCTCCTTCAAGAAAGACAAAGTTGCTTGAGTTAGTGCATTCAGATTTATGTGGTCTAATGAAGACAAGGACTTTGGGTGGTGCACTTTATTTTGCTACCTTTATTGATGATTGCTCAAGAAATCTTTGGGTCTACATCTTGAAGACTAAAGACCAAGTGTTGGGTGTCTTTAAGCAGTTTTAGGCTTCAGTTGAAAGAGAAACAGGAAAGAAGCTGAAGTGTATTTGTACTGATAACGGTGGTGAATATTGTGGACCGCTTGACGAATACTGCAAGCAAAAAGGTATCATATACAAGAAGACTCTTCCTAAAACTGCTTAGCTTAATGGTTTAGTATAAAGGATGAACAAGACCTTAATGGAAATAGTCAGATGTTTGCTTCTGAAGCAAAGTTGTCGAATTCCTTTTGGGGTGAGGCTTTGTTGACCGTCGCACATGTTATTAATCTATCCCTTGTGGTTGCTTTGCAAAGTGATGTTCCAAACAGAGTTTGGTATGGCAAGGATGTTTCCTATGACCACTTGAAAGTGTTTGGTTGCAAATCTTTTGTACATATACCTAAAGATGAGAGGTCAAAATTAACTGCCAAGATAAGGCAGTGCATCTTCATTGGTTATGGCCTTGATGAGTTTGGTTACAGGCTATATGATCCAATTGAGAAGAAGGTCATGAGAAGCCGTGATGTTATCTTCATGGAGGATCAAACCATTGAAGACATTAACAAAGCGAAGAAGCTAAAATCTCCAAGTTCTGAAGGTTTAGTTAATCTTGATCAAATTCCTCATACAAATGCGGATGACGTTGGTGGGCTCAATAATGATGGTGATGCCCAGAACCATATTCCAGATCAGAATATTGATGGTGATGGTGATAACAATGCTAATGCTGATGAGGTAAATGCTCATACTCACAAAGCTGTGGACGAGATAGATATTCCACTCAGGAGGTCTTCTAGACTTCGTACTCCTTCCTCTCGTTATTCTCCCAATGAGTATGTATTACTCACTGATGGGAGAGAACCTGAATGTTATGCGGAGGCCATAGAAGATTAGCACAAGGATCAATGGATTGAAGCCATGCAAGATGAGATGAAATCTCTGCATGAGAACCATACTTATGAGTTGGTGAAATTGCCTAAGGGCATGAGAGCTTTGAAGAATAAGTGGGTGTTCAAAGTTAAAGCTGAAGAACATAGTTTGAAGCTCAGATACAAAGCTAGATTGGTTGTCAAGGGATTTGGCCAAAGGAAAGGTATTGACTTTGACGAAATATTTTCTCCTGTCGTGAAAATGTCCTCCATTCGGACAGTTCTTGGTTTGACTGCCAGTCTTGATTTGGAGATTGAGTAGATGGATGTGAAGACTGCTTTTCTTCATGGTGACTTAGAAAAGGAGATTTATATGGAACAACCTGAGGGCTTCAAGGCAAAGGGTAAAGAAAATCTTGTATGCAAAGTTAAGAAGAGTCTATATGGACAGCAAGCTCCCAGACAGCGGTACAAAAAGCTTGAGTCTGTTATGGGGGAGCAAGGCTACAAGAAGACTTCTTCAGATCACTATGTGGTTGTACAAAGATTTTTTGATGATGACTTTATCATCCTCTTGCTATATGTGGATGATATGTTGATTGTGGGCAGGAATGATTCCAAGATTGATGAGTTGAAGAAACAGTTGAATAAATCTTTTGCAATGAAAGACTTGGGTCATGCTAAGCAGATTTTGGGCATGAGAATTACTCGTTCGAGAAACGAAAGAAAGCTAACAAGAGAAGTACATAGAACGTGTATTGGAGCACTTCACTATAAAAAGTGCTAAGTTAGTTCGCACCCCCCTTCTCGATCATCTGAAGTTGAGTAATAAGATGTGTCCTACAACAACGGAGGAAAAAGAGAGAATGGCCAAGATTCCTTATTCCTCTGCTGTCGGAAGTTTGATGTATGCAATGGTATGCACTCGACCAGATATTGCTCATGCAGTCGGTGTTGTTAGCAGATTTCTCGAAAATCCAGGAAAAGAGCATTGGGAAGTTGTAAAGTGGATGCTCAGATATCTAAGAGTAAGCTCACATGAACACTTATGTTTTGGAGGATCAAATCCAATTTTGAAGGGCTATACAGATTCTGATATGGCAGGTGACCTTGATAACAGAAAATCCACTACTGGATATTTGTTTACTTTTTTAGGGGGGAGTTATATCATGGCAGTCGAAGTTACAAAAGTGTGTCGCACTATCTACAATTGAAACGGAGTATATTGCGGCTACTGAAGCTAGCAAAGAGATGATAGGGCTCAAGAGATTTCTTCAAGAACTTGGATTGCGATAGATGGAGTATGTTGTCTATTACGACAGTCAAAGTGCAATAGACTTGAGCAAAAACTTCATGTACCATGCGAGAACAAAACACATCGACGTCAGATATCATTGGATTCATGAGCAAGTGGAAAACGAATTACTTCAAGTCAAAAAGATTCACACGAGTGAAAATCCTACATATATGTTGACCAAGGTGGTACCAAGGGACAAGTTCGAGCTATGTAAAGAACTTGTCGGCATGCACTCAAACTAGAAGACAATGATACCTCCTCTAGATGAATGAGACTGGAGGGGGAGATTGATGATGTCCATCTCATTCAAATGGTTTGGTAGCATTGAATTGGTATTGGTTTGATAGCCAATTTTGTTGAGTTGGTTTTAGTTCGGTAGTCAACCTTGTTGAAATTGTGAAAAGTGTATGCAAATTGTCAAATATTGTAGGCTAAAGAGTGAGTTTTTTGGTTATAAAAGGAGAGTTTCACCTCTCATTTCATCACACCAACAAAGAGAGAAAAGAGAGAGAGCAAGGTATTCCATAGACTAAAAGAAAATTGTCTGTGGAGAAAAATAGAGTGTAGAAAAAGCAAAGAGTATTTTTTCTTTTGAGGGTGTAGTGGTCTTAGGAGTATTTGTACTCGTTACTACACAGTGTAAAATCCTCACTATAGTGATATCAGCTGCTCTTCTTGGCTGTGGTTTTTCCCTTATTCAGAAGGGTTTCCACATAAAATCTTGGTGTCATTTTTGCTGCATTTTTATTCTTACTGATTAACCATAACTTAGTGGTTCACGTTTATCACTAATACCATAAATATTATTTTACGTGGTTTATTCCCAACAGATTTCTTCCCAGATTGTCATTTTTGCAAGAAGGTATAGCTAAAAGATTCTATGGAAAGGAATTAATTTCTAAGCGCCTTAGAGATGAATGTTTTTAGAGTCTTTAAGGCATTTTATCTAACATCTAATCTGAACTTCCCAACAACTTCCTTCAATGGCATTTCTTGAATTAATTCCCAAACCAACAATTAACACATGCATATCACTCCCAACCCATTCAAGTAGAGTAGGCAATTTATGTGAAGTAGAACTTATTTCACCAGAAGAATCAAATTTAGCAGTAAAATGAAGAACCTTTTTCCATTAAAGTGTCGATACTGCTGAATAAATAAATCAATTGGACTAGAAGAGTTGATTATTTGACTACTTTGGATTGAACAAATAGTTTTTATAGGTAAAATCATAAGTTACCAAAAATACCATTGCACCACAATTATTACTACTACTTTTCATGTTCAATAGTTCTCACAGGAAGGGAAATGAGAATGTTGACACATAATTTGTAAACAAGTATCTTTCTTTAATCTTGATAAAAAAAAGATAGATTGAATAAAAGAAATTGGTACAGAGAGAATAACATCTACTAATAATATAATAAAGTTTTTCATTTTGCTTCCAAATAAAGCTTAGACTGCCTAATTAAAGCTAAAGAACAAATTGAATCAAAGAATATTTAAGAAGAATGACCAAGAAAGCCACCACCTCTCATCCTCTCCCTCTCATCTAAAATTTCATTACCAATAAATAAATAAATAAATAATCAATGAGAATATCCCTCACTTCAAAACAAGAACCCAATTAAAACCCCAAAAGCCATAATTAAACCAGCCTTCAATGTAGCAGAATTACTAGTAGGAGCCATAGCTGGACCATCAAATTCTGTTGGAGAAGGTGCAGGTGCACCCATGAATCTCCTCATGTTGTTCTCAGATAAGGTCACCACTATCAATTTTTGGCCTTGCTCACAATGCCCTTTTGCTCCACTAATAAAATAGTAAGCTCCTGAATGTGTTAGCTCTATCTTTGTATTCCCATCATTGTGCACTGCTATTGGACTTGAAGTGTTGCAAGTTACATAATCTCTCTTGCTCACTTGTAAAACCGAGTCTGTTTTCCCATCATACTTCCACACTGCCAAAAGAAAATATATATATAACAAAATTGGTTATCGACACATCAGAATATCTTATATATATATATATATATNTAAATGTAAACTTTTTTTTTAGCATAAAGATATTTATTTTATTAATAATAACTAGAGTACTGGCGGTAGGAACTACCGTCATTACAAAGGCCTAGATGGACTATAGTTATGCCTCTTAGGCAACTGTTATTACCTAAGGCAGTCAACCTACAACACATAATATTCGAAACTTTCCTTACATATAACACGTTGCTTATTTTGTAGTTTTAATTTTTGAGGCAATTAGTTTCATTTACTGTGAGCAATAATGACATAATTTTAGGTGACTTGTAGTATAAAAATTCTTTTACACGTATGTCTGAGCTGAAAATAAAATTACAGATATAGTTCAGATAATTATAACATACCAAGAGAATCTCCAATGAGGAAGCGAGATTTTTCAGCCCATCGATTGAGAGAATCTGATTCAGAAGATGGGATTTTCCAAGAATCAGTTTTGCCACCAACCAAATGATCTCTGGCTTCTGAGAAGCTCAAGAGGAGGAAGAAAAGAACAGCTACTATTGAAGAAGAAGAAAGTACATTTCTTGAAAAACCAGCCATTTTGATATGAATAAGCTCAAAAAAGTAAATTCTTTGATTTTATAAATAGCTTTCTTGAATAGCTTCTATTGTTTTTCAAAGAAGTGAAGATAAGGAGAGAGATTGAGTTAAGAATATGTATGATGGTAATTGTATAGAGGTTTCTTTGTATGTACATATAGGGAGAAAGAAAACTAGCCGTTAATTCAGAGTATAATGCAGCTAAAGGGGTAAGAAAACTAGCCGTTAATTCAGAGTATAATGCAGCTAAAGGGGTAAGAAAACTAGCCGTTAGAGTGATGAGCTTAAGGGTAGTAACGGTTTTGCGAAAATAAAGAGAAGAAACGGTCAAAATTTATTGGGCTTTTATCCATTATCTTTTCTTAATTTGGGCTTCATCCATTCAGGTAGCGTCATAGACTCACATGCTTTTGTTCCCTGACCCAAGCTTATGCCGTAGAAGCTAACATCAGGCTATTGGCCTTTTATCTGCATCTTCCCTCGTAGAGTGACGTCTTTTATAAGAAAAGACTTTCTCAGTGGAACTAAAAAAAAAGAGTTTGAGCTCTTTTTTTTGGTTGACCTTTAGCCACGCGCGGCGGCTATGTGCATGTGTCCCAAAGTGACGTATATTTTTTGGTAATGGGTATACCGCGAGAACCGGATGAAGCTCACAAGTAACAGTGACTTACTTTCCGGAGATTTGCATATATACCCACTTTTGAGGTCATCATTGAAATTATACCATATTGTACAAAAAATTTATATGTTTGACTGCTTTAGAATCAACTTCAAACCTAGCGAGTCTGAAGTTGAAAGAATTCACATATGAAGTTGTAAACTTAAGATGTTCTTAAGACTCCGTCAGACTTGAAATTTCTTTGGTCTGAAGTACAAAATTGCACTTAAAATGCACTTAAACTTTTTAGTTTGAAGTGCAATTGCCCAGAAATAAAAACTTGTTCTTCGAATTTTAACAATCCAAAACACGATTCAACACCCAAATCTACTCCAAACAAGCTCAAATTTGAAATATAACTTTAAATATCGTAAAGAACAAATGTCAATCGTCAATTGGTTAAAATAACAACAAATCTAACAAACTCATTTTGCAACTAAGAGGAAGAAGAAGAAGAAACCCTAAGCAGTAGAGAGGAGCACCACAACAACTCACTACCGTAAAATACCATAAACCGCCTTAAAATATACTGATAAATATTATATAAATCCACTGTCACCTTTGTTTTCACATCTACCAAGAAGGTGAAGAAGAGGAGTAGGAGGTCTGAAGTTGTATATACTTTGGGTACTAATTAAACTTTTTTACAAAATAGGTATAAATTAAATGAAAGCGATCAAATAGGACCATTCTTGAAATTCCTACCTTACTTTTGGTGACATAGCGGTAATGTATTTACATAGGAGTATTCACATTCATATAAAAAGAGTTTAAGTTCTAGGGAAAATTAAACAAAATTCCTATCCAAACCATTTATATTACCCGGTTCTAGCCATGTGTATTTCTCTTTCATTTTATACCTATTTAGTATTTACCCAATTTGTTTTTCCCGACTACCCATTCTTCACTTTCCCTTTGGATCAAGTCAAGAAAAAAAGATCTGCCGATGAGAAGTGCCAATAATACAAAGAGAATCCATAAAGGCTTTAAGGGGAGGAAGACTCATTAGCTTGATTAAAACTCGTTTTATAGAATGTTGATTGTTCTCCAAAAGAATAAACGGAAAACGGCTAAAATACACCTATGGTATTCTAAATGGTTTACTATCGCGTTCCGTTCACCTATTGGTCTTAAAGTACATCTAACGTTGTCTTGTGATTTGAAATTGCTCCCCGACTAACGGAACCATCTGTGGTCCCTTTTTCTAATGTGTTGTCACGATTTGATTGGGACATGTGGCTATCTGGTCCATATCAATTATAATCCGCCCCAAATTTAATAGGAAAACCACCAGCTATGTTCATTTATAAGTATCTTATTACAAAAATTGGTCAATTCATAAAATATTACTAATATTAGCCAATTAGCTATTTGTAGCAAAAAAATATCAAATTTGCTTTCTTTTGAGTGAATGTTATTAGAATAGATTAGGTACACCTTAAGGAGCTTGAATATTAGTTTTTGGATGATTTGGTGAAGTTTTGTGGTGGTTTGAATTGAAAATTTGAAGTAAAAACTGAACATGTAAAAAAATGTAATGTGTATCATTTGTGTATCACATATGTATCATATTTGTATCAATTGTGTATCACATGTATATTCATGTATACTTGTGTGTGAGATATATGCGTGATCCATATTTGATACATGTGTTGCAGAAGAATTTTTTTGAACTCGATTTAATTATGAATTTTGATATAAAACCAGTTTAAATCACCTCCAATCTTCCTCAAATTTTGTATATTGACTTATCTATATGTTTTCAATAAATTTCAACTATACTCATTGAAAAAGTTCCTTTTTTGCTTAGATTTTTGGAATATTGTATATTTCTTTTGTATTTCATCACCTTATTTGCTACCTCATCCATAAAATTTCCTTTCCGTCTTGCATCTAATATTGCTAATCACGTTTAAAAATATGAAAGGTGGTTTTTGCATGTGATTCTTTGAGAGAAAAAACCTTATTTAATTATTTGGTTTTTCAATTTTTATATGTATTTGGCTAGTTTTGGTAAGTCTATGACTAATGATTAGAGGTTGGTAAGTTAAGACTTATTTGGAATATTTGTGTAAGTTTCCCAATTTAATAAGTAGAATTTTAGTTGATTTCAAAATCTTAAATATTAAAAAAATAATTAAATTCTACCCATCCTTCCCTTTCCCCTTTTAACTTGCTTAGCATGAAACCCCATGCATTCGTCGTAGCCTAGAAATTGATAGAGCTACTGACCACCAAATCCATCCATTATTGCTTTAGCTCAAAAACACTCAACTACCACCCTCGAACCTTTAAACATAAACAAAAAGATATTATTATTATTATTATTATTATTATTATTATTATTATTATTATTATTATTATTATTATTAAAAGGTATCTATCAAAGTTTATGCTGAGACGTTGTGGATTTTGGTGGAGATTTTGGAGTCAATTTGACATGAAAATTGTGTCGATAGGTTTGAGGCAAATTTAAAGAGATTGTAACTGTTAAATGAAGAATAGAAGACACTATTTTGTTAAATCAAATTGATATACTGTATCTCATTTTGGTATATAATATATAATTCAACAGTATATCATTTATTGTAACGGTGTATTGTTACTATATACAATATAATGTAACAGCATGCTATTATAATTTGATTCTTTTTAATTTTTTAAACTTTCAACTGAATTCTATTTCATTTTTCCAATAGAGTTCTCATGCTATTTTTAAAAAAAAAAATTCTAAACAAGGTACTTGATGGAGTTTTATGAAGGTATTATTGAATACACCAAAAGTAAGTGTAGCAGTACACATATAATAGTAATATACTGATTTAGCATAGTTATACATTATTTGGGATACTGTTATCTTAGACACTAATATATATTTTATTATACTGATATTTCTATATATAATATTGATATATTATGTTGGTATACTATATACTAGAAGTATTTACTGTAAAATAAATATTTAAAAACCGATAAAAATAAAAGAAACAAAGAGAAAAGGTATACTATGTAAGTTATTTTCTGATAATTGTGATGTTTTAAAAATAAATTATGCATTTCGAGGCTTTAAAAATCATTTTCTGTCTCACCTCGATTTGCGTGCGCAGTCCGGGCATGTAGCCGGAAAGCCAATATGTGAAAATCTGTGGAAAATGATGAATTTTGACTTTAAAATGAATTTAAGTTAACTTAGGTCAACATTTTGGGTAAACAGACATGGATCCGTGATTTGACGGTCCCGGAGGGTCCGTAGGAAAATATGGGACTTGGGATATGCCCGGAATCGAATTCCGAGGTCTCAAGCCCGAGAAATGAATTTTTAAAGAAAATTTTTTTCTGGAATATTTATGAGTTTTTGAAAGTGAAATGTGTTTAAACCTTGATGGTATCGGGCCCGTATTTTGGTTCCGGCACCCGGTATAGGTCTTATATATGATTTAAAAAGTTTGTGAAATTTGGTAATAAACGGACTTGAGATGACGTGAATCGGATCATATTTGAGAAAATTGGAAAATTTGAAGTTCTTAAGAAATTTAATGATTTTGATGTTAAATTCATAGTTGTTGATGTTATTTTAGTGATTTGAATGCACGAGCGAGTCCGTATGATGTTTTTAGATTGGTGTTCATGATTAGTTTGTAGCCCCGAGGGCTCGGGTGAGTTTTGAATAGGCCACGGGTGGATTTTGGACTTGGAAAGTTGCAGACTTCAGCTGTTGCATTGCAGGCCTGCAGGCTTCGCATTTGCTAAGCCTGGCTCGCAAATGCAAGTACGCAAATGCGAAAATAGCCCAGGCCAGCCTTCCTCGCAATTGCGAGGAATTTATCGCAAATGCGATGTTTCCCCCTTTTGGTCAGTCGTCGCAAATGCGACATGTGGTTCGCAAAAGCGACTTCGCAAATGCGAAGATCGCCTTGCAAATGCGAGCTTAGCAGAAGTCTGGGTTCGCAATTGCGAACACTGGTCGCATTTGCGACATCTGCAACCTGCAATTTTATAACTTAGTCGGAAATCTTTTATTTTTCACACTCTTGCAAAACCAAAACACTCTTTGGCGATTTTTCAAAGACAACTCTTCTTCCAAATCAATTGTAAGTCAATTTTAACTCGTTTTCTTCGATCATTAACATCTTTTCACATGATTTCAACTCAAATTCAATGATTTTCATGGGGGAAATTAGGTGTTTTGGGTAGAACCTAAATTTTTCAAAAATTGGAGGTTAGGACTTTGAGGTCCGATTTCAAAATAAATTATATATTTGAGTTCGTAAGGGAATGGGTAATCGAGTTTTGGTTCGAACCTCGGGTTTTGACCATGTGGACCCGGGGTCGATTTTTGACTTTTTGGGAAAAAAACTTTAGAAAATCTATTTTCATACATTGGAATCGATTCATTTAGCATTTATTAATGTAATTAAGTAACTTGTGGCTAGATACGAGCGAATTAGTGGTGGAATCAAGGGATAAAGCGA